CCCCTTCGGGGATAAAATGCTTGATGTTATGTTTTGTATGGGAGAAAATGCCAAACGGCACTAAGTCCCCTAATGTATCTTATTTTTGTGAGCATTAGAGAGTTAATAAATTAATATATTTTTTAAGAAAACGACGTAAAGTTTCCATTTCTCACATTTGCCAAAAGCGAATGCAAAACACTATTTTCCTTTTTTTTATTTAACTCGTCGAGTACCGGTTTTGCAGACACAATTATAGAACAATAGGTTGCGGTCACCGGTGACCGCTTGGTGTTTGACAGTTTAATAACAGATTCAATTTAACAGTTGCAATTCAAACCACAGTTAAAATTAACCGTGAATAGTGAGTACCATTAGTAACTGCGCATGGTATAATGGCGATGTGTCGACAGGTTCCGATCGTCCGATCGAAATAGATAACTGCTCGATTTATGACCGCTTGCGCTAGCGCAGACTTTCGCTAGGTCGAGATTAAGATAAGTAGGTACATACACTTAATATATATCTTTTTCAATTTTAACTTCGAATATGGGATAGTTCCATTTTAATGTATTTTTTTAATATTACTTGTCAAAGTCAAAGGATTTATTTCAATTAATCCTTAAATAGGCACTTACTGGCTGTCAGTGAAGCTAGGCTAGGCTAAGCTAGGCTTGAATACGTATATAACTTTCTCATACTCAAGATCAAAATGAGGAATTGAGGAAAAAGTGAGTTTTAAGTAATACTTCTTGTTCTTCTCCAATAAATAATAGGAACACACAGTCTGCTTAGACAAATGAAAGTTAATAGGTCCTAGGTAAGTGTCTAGATATGTTTTAGGGAAAAATATTACAGACCTATACTATGCTTTATAATAACTATCGTGAGATATACTAATACCTAAAATCATGGGTTACTCACGTGAATATACTGAGAAAAGCTCTACTAGTTTCGAACCACAGAGGAGTTCTTCCTCATGAGCAGCGTGCGTGGTCGCGGCGACGTCGCGATTTAATTAATTTAGACCTATACTACATTTTAAGCAGGCATGTATAAAGGTGTAAATAGTAATGCATTTGTTCGCTAGTCTAAACCCACCTTAAGACCTCAGTCGTGAGTACAAGCTTGGATTCTATCGAATACAATTAGAGCCGTAAGCCGAACATCGATTGTCTATACCTTATCGTGCTCCTCCAATATTTATTGCTTTAACCAGGCATCGAACCTTGAACCTTTCGTTCTAAACCTGAGATCATCATTATCGTCCAGCTGGTTAATGATTTTACAATGATTCTTTAAAGTCTTGTGTGAACGGTTTAACATTTGGCATGATATGTATGTATGTGTGTATGTACTTCAGTGGTGACTGGAACACATTCTATAAATTAGTGCAAGGTGAAGAGTTTATGAAAATGAAACGAAAATATTCTTTATCTTCTATAAAAAGAAATTCGTGTTAGTTCCACTGTTTATTATTTATAATTCAAGAACGACTGAATCGATTTGAATGAAAATTGACGGGGAGGTAGCCTAGAACCAGGAGACGGACATAAGATACTTATTATCCAATAAGAAAACATAACATCACGCCTTTTATCCCCGAAGGGGTAGGCAGAGGTGCACATTATACCACTGTACAATGTAACATCCACTTTTCACTATTTATGTTATGAGTCCCATGTAATAGGGGGTGAGCCTATTGCCATTACCGGGCACAATTCAAGACTCCATGCTACTACTGATAATATTTAGAAACCCACTGATACTATGCCCGAGCCGGGAATTGCACCCGAGACCCCTTGCCCGGCAGTCGCACTTACGACCACTCGACCAACGAGGCAGTTATCCAATACTTTTTTTTACTTTTAACCGAAAATCACGAACGGGAACTGAAATAAACGGGATTGCGCATACGAAATCGCGGGCAAAGCTAGTAATATTATAAGAAAGCTATTTGGCTAAGACAAGTTTACAGACTTGTTCATTGATATTGGAATAATAATATATTTATTTATATACTTATTTATTTATCATTTCATGTATACCATACAGCAGACAATATTACAGAGGACAACACATTAAAAGCATAAGCTAAGGTACATATACTTATTAATGAGGTCGTATATTTTGATGATGAACACGATTAGGCAGAGGTGCACATACTATATCTATGTATAATGAAACCCTCTCTATTAACCCCAGGAAAGAAAGGCTTAACGCGACTGTCAGGTGTCGGAGCCCAGTTCAAAGGTTCCTCACTAAATCCACTGACATTAAACACATATCAGATGGGTTTCTAAGCAAATTTACGACGTTTTCTTACTTCCTAGAGATACGGCGAATAGACAGACAGATAGGTTACATTGCGATCGGCCATAACTTGACAATACCGCAGACCGCATGCGCATAAATGTCACAGTTCCTATATTACTGGATGATAGCGATATGTTCAGGGATGCCTAATGTAAAGAAGTAGTGATAGGCCTACTAAAGTTTATTATTTAGCACCCGTGGTCTCTGGGTGGGCAATCAATCAATGAACTGGTTTATAAATTGATATCCAATAGTGCAAGATAACAATAGTCGTTTGAACATGAAAACATTTTTGATGTTCATTTAGTCAGCCTGATTTCATTCATTACTGTAGGAATAGCTACCTGAGCTCAGTCTGCAGTTCTTCGTATCAATTGAATATCCCACATTTTATATTTACCTATAAAATTTAAATTACATAACATAACATCACGCCTTTTATCCCCTAAGGGGTAGGCAGAGGTGCACATTATGTCACTGTACACTGTAACCACCCACTTTCACTATTTATGTTATAAGTCCTATGTAATAGGGGGTGAGCCATATACCGGGCACAATTCCAGACTCCGTGCTACCGTAATACTTTATCCGACTCGGGAATTAAGCCCGAGACCCCTTTCCAGCAGTCGCACTTGCGACCACTCGGCCAATGAGTCAGTCGTTGCAGAATTTAAATTAATCAGCCGATTTATCTAAAAATTATTTATTAAAATTACTGAGGTACTTTAAACAACAAAATTTATTAGCAGTTCTTATTAAACAAATTCTTAACATCTTTCTAGCCAACCCTAAACCATTACGTAGCTGGTATATTAGCAGGGTTGTATAACAAAATAATACGCCGTCTGTCTGTGCAGTTAGCCGACTGTAATAGTACCTAAACGCTGCCATATTGATTGTATATAACAATACGTGCAATAAGCCATCTGAAGCCATAATCTGTAAGCCATTAAGCTTAATCTAGGCGATAGATGCGTGGGCTAAGCTAAAGTCTAAAGAAATTAGTGACTATTTGGTCTGATCTAGATTGAATGCTAGATCTAATAATAAAGTGTTCGACAGTTCCGGGTATTTGTCTAGTGATGAGTGACTGTGTTTAGGGATTGGTTTTAGTGTTCATCATCATTTGTTATGGATGCAATGCTGTTGGCAAGCGATTAGTATTTTGAGCAATGGGTTCCTAAATTTAGACTCATGTAATTGAAGATAATGTCATTGTGATACATTGGATACAATTTCAGATTCTGTGCTATTACTGAGAAAATTTTAAAAAACAACATAACATTAACATAACATCACGCCTTTTTATTCCCGAAGTGGTAGACAGAGATGCACATTTCGGCACTTAATGCCACTGTACAATGTAACACCCACTTTTCACTATTTATGTTATGAGTCCCATGTAATAGGGGTGAGCCTATTGCCATATACCGGGCACATTTCAAGACTCCGTGCTACTACTGAGATTTTTAAAAACCCAGTAATACTTTGCCTGACACGGGAATCGAACCCGAGACCCCTTGCCCGGCAGTCGCACTTGCAACCACTCGGCCAAAGAGGCAGTCAAATCTTAAATATTCCAATAATATTTTGCCTGACCCGGGAATCTAAGCCAAGACCCCATGCTAGACTGTCACAATCTTGTTATGAAATGCATTCTGTTAATAGATTCTCAATGTACTGTACAGAAGTTTAATAGGTACCTATATTACATCCAAATCACAAATCAGTAAAGCGTGAAGCACATATCCTTAAATAACATTTAATCGTATAAAATGACAAAACAAATTAAACACTAGACTATCACAACATATTGTTAACTTGTCAAGTGAGCGAGACCTGTCATGCGCGTGCGCAAGAGGTCGAGGCTGTCTGCGCAGGCGCCCGTAGGCCTGTCAACACCCTGTAATAATGAATCATGTTAGTTTTTATTTTGTTTATGTTTTTTTATGATGTCGAAATGTGATTCTGAAGCCTGAAGGTCATAGTTAAGTGGGTGAATCATTGGTGTAAGCAGTATAGGTCAGTATATGATTACTGTAATTGAACTTTATCTGAAAGTAATTGTGGGAATTTCGCTTTCAGGTGTGATTTTTTTTTCGGTATGAAGTATTTACCTTATATCTATTTTATTACAATTTAATAGGAACTCTAATGGTGTGATTACGTCATAAAATAAGAAACTAAAAGATCTAAGGTTAGAATCATTAGGATTCAAAATAGTCCAGATATTTATCTAAAAAAATAACAATGAACATAGGTCAATTAATAAAATTATAATAATATTTGTACTAGCCAATGTCGACATTAAGATCGAACTACATCTTAACGATATTGCTTCAACGGATCTTGTGTAACGCCATTATAAGTCTAGATCATAGCAATTATGCGCAGGCGCATCGACGAAATTGTTGACGTTTAGAGATCGATATTTTGACGAATGGCAGTTATTTTCGCTTTTGTTAATGATATATATCTTTTGTTAGTGCTTTTAGTTACGAAATGGTTAATCTAGGATCTAAATTGTAGGCTGTTTTGGAAATTATACGCTTCGAAAGTGTAGTAGCGAAGGCCAGGAGTACAATTAAATTTTATGTAACTTAGTAAACGTTTAGGTTCTTGTTGTAGCTTTTGGAATGTCAAATTAAATAAATATTATTAATCGTCTTTCTCGGAGTTATTTAATGGTTACTTAACCTTATACTTAGCTATTGTTTTCGGCATAAAATCGGTACAAAGGAATAGTATAAGATTTTTATTTTTATTTTAAATTACACACTAGGATTTTTTCCTGTGTCGTCCTGTTTAAACGTACGTTTAAAAACATAGAAGTTCACATACACATCGCACTCAGACCAGAAACAACAATTTTGTTAATCACACAAAGAGTTGTTCCGTGCGGGAATCGAACCCGCGACAAGTTGCGTGGCAGCCGGTTGCCCAGCTACCGCGACGACCGGGTAATCATTAAAGGTCTGTGGCAGTCTTACTTTGAGGTCGATAGAATGAATTATAATAAAAACAAAATGGCGCATGGCATCTACTTACATATCATAATCAGCGTAAATATAAGTATTGTCTTCATCGTGTCGGCGCCCACTTTACTCTCTCTCCACCGCATCACAGTTCTGAAACAAAGAAAAACATTTTAACATAACATAACATCACGCCTTTTATCTTCGAAGGCAGAGGTGCACATTACGGCACTTAATGCCACTACACAATGAACACCCACTTTTCACTATTTATGTTATGAGTCCCATGTAATAGGGGGTGAGCCTATTGCCATATACCGGGCACAATTTTAAACTCCGTGCTACTACTGAGAATTTCTTAAAAAACCCAGTAATACTTTTTCCGACCCGGGAATCGAACTCAAGACCAGTCGCACTTGCGACCACTCGGCCAACGAGGCAGAGGCAATGTAATGTAAGCTATCATAAACCTAGTTAACTAAATGTTTCTCAGTATTTTTTTTTATGGCATACGGGCGGACGGATCACCTGATGGTAAGCAATCGGCGTCGCCCATGGACACCTGGAACATCAGAGGCGTTACAACTGCGTTGGGGATTCAGGGATTGGGGAGATTGGGGAAGGGGAGGGTAATTGGGCCTCCGGTAACCTCACACACACGCCGAAATACAACGTAAGCGTTGCTTCACGTCGGTTTTCTGTGAGGCCGTGGTATCACTCCGGTCGAGCCGGCCCATTCGTGCCGAAGCATGGCTCTCCCACACTTAAAATCCCACAGTCTTTTAAATTCTAAGCTCAACTCTGCCACGAACCAAGTACAATAAGTGTCATGGTGCAAATCCTACTCGCGACATTCGACACGAATATACAACAGTCTCCAATCAAAAACTTTCATCAAGTTTCATATTATTCACGAATTGAACCGGAACTCCACAGACATACCACCACGTCTAGGCAGCTAAAGATGATCGGTGCGCATGCGCATGTGACGTCATACAGTCACGACGACATTGACATCTGTGATTTAGTGTTATGCTATTGATAGGTTTAGGTTTATTAAACCGGATGTGCACGATAGGGGATTGCCTATTCAAGCGAATATAAGCTTTAAATAAACAATTTCAGTGACCGAACAACCTGTATATCTATAGAGAGTTCCTATCAGAGTTTTCGGTGCAATTTTACCTGACTACTTCAGAAAAAAAAGAATACATTTTCAAGATTTCTACCTCTATGTATGCTTGCATCTTAGTTGAGGTAAAAAGCTAATATTTTGATTTCTATTATTTGCCCAACAACGGCAGTCAATTGCCCAGCCAAAACGCCAATTGTGCACTGTGCAATCATCGGATTTATAACATAACTAACGACAAAGTAAACCAAAGTACACATCCACCATCTTCAAAAACACCATGTACCTAAGTAACACTATGCAAATGAACCATCTTTCATATTTCTAACTATGTTGTATTACCTAACAATTTCCATAAGTCCACATTCCAATATGTCTCCAGATGTGTTCCGCAGCGCATAGCTAGTTATCTCACAGCTCTGATGACACCCTTACGTAACTGTGGGTGTTATAGTACTTCTGTACTAGCTGACGAGTTCCGGTATACAAGTAGATAGGTTATGGTAAATACCTGTGTGTCTTGACGTTTATTTCTCGTACATTTTGATGTGTTATGAAGGGTTATGAGGTAGGAATATTTTCAACAGTTAAGGTCATTTCTTTTTTCCATATTGTAGATGTTTTTCTACAAGTTTTTTTTATAATATAACATCAAGTCTTTTATCCTCGAAGGGGCAGGCCGAGGTGCACATTACGGCACTCAATGTCACTGTACAATGTAACACTCACTTTTCACTATTTATGTTATGAGTCCCATGTAATAGGGGTGAGCTTATTGCCATAATACTGGGCACATTTCTGGACTTCGTGCTACTACTGAGGTTTTTTTTAAAACCCAGTAGTACCTTGGTCGACCCGGGAATCATCGAATCTGAAGTCGAGATTTTACATTACATCATAATTCTTTCTCTTCCAGTCTTTTTCTTTATCATAAGCTCGCTGAAATCGTTGAGGAAATTAATGAAATTTGAACCAACTAATTTTAACAGTACCAGTGTATATAGGTATACATAACCAGTTTTTCAAATACATTATATTATAAATTTAATCTTATAATGTGCAGTCATTAACAACCACACTGCTGGATGTCTAGATCAACATAAAGAAAACTGCGCACGCGCTCCGGAAGTCGTGACACAAGATGGCCGAGCTTCCGTCCGCCATTGTTGCTATATCAATTAATAGAACTAGTTGACGGGCCACTTGCAAATGACTTCTGAACTTTTACGGAAGACGGAAGGGACAGTAATGTTAATAAGTTGTTTTGCAAATATGTTGTTGTGAAGGGATTCGACTTATAAAGTTTATGAGGTAGTAAAGTTATAGATAATCGCATGTTACATGATTCCTACACAAGGAAGATTAACGAATGGTTATTGTGGATACTTGTAATTAAAGTTAAGGCTTTTTAAAATTAAAGTTGAGACAGAAGTACCTTTACCAACTAAAGTACATTACGTGCACGTACTTTTATTCTATTACTCTATTATTTTAGTATATTTTAACACACTGTAGGAGTGTAGGTACTCCACCAAACTCCATGTACTTTATGAGAATGTAAAATTTTTTAAAGTAAACAATTCAGGACTAACTTTGCTTGATCGAATCGAAACTGTTACCTGAGTCATGCTTACAATCAAGTCACTAAACTAACAATGTACAATTTACGATAAATAAAAGAGTAATTGTACTAACACAAGTAAGTTGTACTCAACGCCCTAGTTTACTATCAATAGTTACGTCTTGTAGATGCTAATCTCCAAAAGCGAGTACAATCGAATTCAAAAGTGTATGGGGAATTTTGTCTGAATAGAAAGTTTTATTAGAGGTAGATACTTTTTTATTTAGACTAATGGTTATTGGTGCGAACATCCACTGGATATCGTGTAATGTTGTAGTCGAGTTTTTCAGTCTATCAACATAACATAACATAACATCACGCCTTTTACCCCCGAAGGGGTAGGTAGAGGTGCACATAACGGCACTTAATGCCTCTTAAGCAGTACAATGTAACACCCACTTTTCACTATTTATGTTACGAGTCCCATGTAATGCTGCCTGCCTCGATGACCGAGTGGTAGCAATTGCGACTGCCGCGCAAGGGGTCTCGGGTTCGATTCCCCGGTCGGGCAAAGTATTACTGAACTTTTTCAAAAAATCTCAGTAGTAGCACGGAGTCTGGAATTGTGCCCGGTATATGGCAATAGGCTCAGTCTATCAGTTATCGCTTAAATGCTTCTAATCAGCATTTATAAAATGAAAATACGTATCAAAATATTTACTCTTACAAATGTATGTATAGTATATTTTACTTTACCTATCTATTATTCCCTTTCGGAGAATGATATATCATATCAAATTGTTTGCACCTAGAATTCATTGCTTAACGTTTAAACTGTCAAATACCAAGCGGTCACCGGTGACCGCAACCTATTGTTCTATAATTGTGTCTGCAAAACCGGTACTCGACGAGTTAATCTACTGCCCATAATAAACGACATTCATAATATAAGACAGTAAAATATCACATTTTCTGGATAAAGTTAATCATTGATGCTCTCGACAGTACTCTGAGGGAGAGCAGATGACCCGCGCTCGTAAAAACTATGATGACTACTGAATAATTGTGCTGATTGGACCTTAACGTACAGTCCGAGCTATGAACTTGTAGCGGGGAAAGTCTACTACATCGACACTCAACTGATGGTCTATAGGCCTTGTCTACATAATTCTTTTATACTACGTTTAAAAAAATGTTTGAGGTCTGTTTATTAATGATATACTAAAACCTTCTCTTAAAATGTAACAACCATTTTCCTGAAAACCGCATCAAGATCGGTTCATTAACCTGTCAAACACCAAGCGGACACCGGTGACCGCAACCTATTGGTCTATAATAGGGTAGACGACTAATTTTTATTTTAATGTCCGTCTGGTAGATTATTTTAAATCATTACACACGTATTTTTTATTTTCTTACAGAAACGAATACTTTCCACGATATATTGATTTGAAATGTCGTGTGACGTCACTTTTATGTACATTTTATACGTAGAAATGACGTTTTAGCCCCCACTCCTAGTCGCGGAAAACCTAACGGGTAACCGGGGCTCCGGCTCGACGTGCAGGAGAAGGAACGGGGTGGTTTTTAGTCAGTAAGTGTCTGACACTCCCTTCCGCCTCACCCAGGCGGGAGCAGTCATTCGATGATTTTCCCCCCTTAAAAAAAGCCCCCACTCCTAAACTTTGATTCGTTTTATCTAAGTATTGTTTTATTATACGACAAAATAAAAAAATACGTGTCTAATATTTTTTTAATACCTAACTTACGGACTAATTAGATTTTTAATTTTCATACCCTGTCGTCATCCCAATTGTGTCTATAATGACGGTACTCAACGAGTTAAGATGCTTATATAAATACAGGTCAAATTGCCAACCTCCTTCTTTTTTAAATGCGATTAATAAAAAGGGTTTACTATGAATATAATCTTCTCGCTTGGAAAGTGGGTTATAAATCGTAGTTCAAAAGGTTCAAATGGAATTTTTATATTTATAAAGACTAGATCTTAGTGTAAATGGAATTCAATACATGTTGTGTAGCCATTCCGCCAATATCGTCTATTTATTGTTTTACATTATTATCATAATTCAATAGTAATTAATTTCGAGTGAATTCATTGATATTAAGTTTTTCTTTACTAGTCAAGTCAAAGTCAAGTCAAAATCATTTATTTCAACTACACCAGAGAGCTACGTTTGAACGTCAAAAAGAAATTAAAAAATAAAACCATTTTCTAGTTTAACCTCTCCATACAACAAGTCATAAATGTGACAATAAATAGTAAAGTTAGTATTTTTGTCTCCTAGTTAATAAATCGTGCGGTTCCTATCTAGATAAACTAAATGAACTAACTTTTACTTGTTAGCTGCAGTACTTTCACACGACTAGCATGTAACAAGTATTTGTTTAAATATCACTTTACTTAATTAAACATCTCATTTGTAAATATATCAGATA